TGATAATAACTTTGCAAAATAGAAAACATCAGGATTATGTGGGTTTATTGGTGATTTCTACCAAAAATTTAAGGTAGGAATTTTATCAATTCTGTATAATCTGTCGAGGAAAGGAACATAGGAATACTTCTTAACTCACCCATGAGGCATTACTGTCCATCTGCCTCACTCTGGGTTCCAGCATAAATGGGGATCTGAGGGAATTGAGAATGGCAGGGCCAGGGGCAGGGTCACGCATTATGTGGAAACATTTTTTTTTTTTTATTATTACCTAAAGAACTGACTCCAGCCTAAAGACAGTCATTCTTGTTGTCCCCTTTTCTCCTTCAGCAGTAAAGTAACCCGCCAGCTGTTCTTCATCCTGATTGTAGATTAGACTCACTTAGGGCCCAATTAAGCTAAAACTAGACCAATTAAGCTAAAACCTTGGGTTTTACATTAAGCCAAATGTGGTTGTTTAAAATACCTCCCAATAATTTCAAGGTTCTTATTTAGCATGAAAGGAGCTTAGAAAATTTCCTACAACCCCGACCAGAAGTAATAGTCTGAATAATCTGAAAAATCAATGACTCCTTTTAGATCCATCTCTGAGGTCACAGGGCAAACTGTTGTTCTCCAAATTAGAGAAATAAATAAACAGAATCACAACTTAGCAGAGCAAACGCTCACCTAGGAACTCGACCAGATTCTCACAGTGAAGATAAGGACACAAACTGTTTGACTTTCCAGCAGAAGGAAGAAAAAAGTAACTGTTTTGATGTATGTCATAACACTACGGAAGTTCTGTCCTCAAGAGAAATTTTAACAGACCTAACAGATCTAAGTTTATCAGCGTCTAGTTGACCCAGTGGGAAGAGAAATCGCCAACTTCAGCTTCTCTAGTTTTCCCTGTTGGAGGAAGGAAAATACTTTGCCAAGGGCGTCGCTGGCCTTCTGCATGGTTGAAGGCAAATACTGCTCCTGCTTCTACAGCCAGCGTGCAATACGTGAGGGCGGGGAGGATGAGGGGGAGGCGGGGGGGCGCACTTGTGAAACTGACAGTCCAGCAGCAAAGGCTCATTAGGAGTTCCCTCTCTCAAACTTACCATTATTATTACAAAAGACCTACTTACCACAGATCCTTTTTACCATGTATATCATAACTGATTTTTCAACAAAAAATTACAAAACATCCTAAAAGGCAAAAAAAAAAAAAAAAAAAGTTTGAAGATATTGACCAAATATCAGAAGGGACCCAGATAGATATGTTAGTAGCATTGAAATTATGAGACTATTAAGTTAAAACCACTATGATTAACATGCTCTAAAGAAAAAAGTAGCCAACGTGCATGGGTAATATAAATATGGGTAATGGAAATTCTAAGAAATGTTTAAAAAGGAATGTGAGAAACTGTAACAGACATGAATGCCTTTTTGGGGCATACCAGTAGACTCGATGTGACTGAGGGAAGAATCTCTGAACTTGAGGATTTGTCACTAGAGACCTCCAAAACTAAAAGGTAAAGAGAAAAATAGGCTGGAAAAGGAAAACAGAATATCCAGAATGGTGACCTAAGTGCAAAAGAATGTAGCATACATGTAAAGGGAATGCCAGAAAGAGAAGAAACAATCTAAATATTTGAGCAATAATGAGAATTTCTCTGAAATGAATGCTATACACTAGAGCAGAGACCCAGGAAGCTCAGAGAACACCAAGAAGAATAGCTAAAAATCTGCATTAAGGCACATGCAGCATATCAGGAATAAAGAAAAAAATTGAAAGTAGCCAAAAAGCAATAAAACACCTTATAGAAAAGGAGTGGCAAAGATCTAAATTGCAACTGACTTCTCAGCCATCGTACAAGCAAGAAGCAAGATTTGACAATTCCATGAATTCAGTTTGGGAAATATGTCTTAGGATTCCATCCCTGTTGTCACATAGTAAATGTTCAACCTGGTGTCACTAATATCTTGAAGGGGTCATTGATATCTTAGGGACTCAGGTTTTGTATGTGTTGAAGGTGCAGGAGGGAGTCTTTTTACCCCATATTAACAGTGAATATCAACATAGAATCCTTCAAATGAGTAGACACATATTTGAAATTAAGTAGGTTTGTGGACACCTGGAATACGTATCTCAGGAAAAAAAAGCATCCAGAATCCCCTCATGATTTAATTTTTCAACTTTACCACTCTTGGTCAATTATTTCCTTCATGTTCAGAGAAGTTCTGGAAAAGGCTGGAAAGAGGGACAGTGAATGACCTCCAACTCCAATCTGAACTTGCCTACATTGTCTCTAGTCTCCAAACAACTCTGTGGGGTCGACAGCATTAGGTCCATTTCACACACATGTGTGTGATCTCCATTGCTGGAGATCACGAAGTTACTCATGGATAGAGAGGGGTAGTTTTCCCGGCCTGCATTGTGGGAAAACTTGAGCACTGCAGAATGGCCACAGGTTTCCTGGTCTGGGCTTTGTTGGTGAGGGTAAGACCTATGGGTCAGAGTCTGGCTGAGTCATGACCTTGATCCATGATGGAAAGTCGTGTTTCTACATCTCTTCCATTGGAAATGACCTTCAGAGCTCTGGGCTCCATTCTCAATAAAGAAGATGGGAGGCCCATGAAATGTAAAGATAGACACCCTTTATTCTGGCTAATGATCTGCAGCCCTGGCTGAGGTGCAGGGGTGAGGACTGGCTCTCCTGCACACATCCTGCATGTGTGAGCTGCCCCTCCTGTTCAGCCACACTTGGGTTGGTTGGAGGCATGCAGCATGAGCATCAGATGTCTTGCAACACTTCTGTAGAAAGAGGGGAGATTTTATATTTCTTACTGACACAAAACTGAAAAGGCAGCTCTCTTTCCACTTTATTGCTCTATTTTCTTCTGCCTCTTTTTGCCATTCTTTAGTCTGAATGGGTTGTGTTAGTCTCCTAAAAAAATAAATAAAGTTTAATTGTGTGCAATTGTGGGAAAATTAATATTACTTAAATATCTGAAATGGGTTATAATTGTTTAACTCGTTTAAAAGTTTAATGAATTATGAACACAGTTAAACAACAATATTGATACTAGTAGTTTAATGTTATATACAAGAAATAGGAAGAAATTAGAAAGCTTTTAAACTATCAAAGTATTACTAAAACGTGAAACAATCTCAGAGGGAAAACCTGATATTTTCTCCCTCCTGTGCTAGTGACAGTTGTGACTCCTGAATTTCTGTTAATTGTGATCTGGCTTTCTGTTAAACAGAAAGTTTACTTGGTCTACTCTAGTTGACCATGACCACATAACTGACCACAATGTCAGAACCAGCATGGACTGCACATTCTGTTTCCTCTATCACATCCCCACAACCCAGTGTGTGTCATTTGCTCGAGCATTTAATGTGTATTTATGGAGCAACTCTTATCTGCAAGTCACTGAGTCAGGTACAGAAAGTGTAGAACAGAGTCTTTGCCTGATAAAAGATAAAGTCTCGTGTGTGGGGGGGAGGGGTTATCCATAAACAAGCATCTCCAGAGGGTTCGGGGTTGGTGCTACAGAAACAAGGAGGAAAAGGTCAGAGTGAGAAGAGGAAACCAGAAGGGATCACATTAGGAGGTATCATATGACCCAGTAGAGAAGTAAGTCAAGGTCCCTTTAGATTAGACATTTGTGTTACTGGAAGGTAGAATATAATGAGGGGGAGAGACAAGAGAAGAATCTGGAAACTTGGACTGAGGTCAGATGATCAATATATATGCCACAAAGGAGTTGAAGTATTTTTTGTAAGGTTGACAATCAGCAAGAAAATAAGACGTCAGTCTTACAAAGGGAGAACTTAATTCTGCCAAGATCCTGAATAGGTGAAGGCATAGATCTATCCGAGTGCCCTAGAAAGGCCCACGTCTGCCAATTGCTTGATCCCAGCTTCCCAAACTCCTGAACTCTGACCTACAGAATGTGAGTGTGATTTTGTGTTTTAAGCCCCTAAATTTCTAGAAATTTGTTATGATAGCAATGGATGCTGACTACAGGACCTGGAAGAGGTGGTTTCCTCCCATGGGCCTCTTGTTTGGCCTTTTTCACAGATGCTGGTGGCCCCAGTGAGTCAGGAGCCAATCTCTCTTGAATTCTCTCAAGTAGCGGGCTCCCTTTGGACATTCCAATTGTCATTCCACTCCTGATTTTTCTCCAAGACAAGAATGGGCCTACTCATCCTGAAACTACCACAACGGTTTAGACCTTCACCTCAAAAACTTGATGAAGAACATTCCCACAGTGTCTTTATCTATAGGCAAAGGAGCAGAACTCCTGGGAAGTATTCCTTTAGTGTGAAAGGTAGCATTGATGGTGTTGATAGAATGAGAATTGGCTGAAGGAGGAGAAGAGGCATGTTCTAGCACTGCCCCTAGTACAACCCAGTGATTTCGGGAAAGTCAGTTACCTCCTGTGTGTGTCTATTTCTACATCTATTTAAAAATTAATGATTTCTGACTGACTATTCATGGCCTTATGAAGACTTGCTGAGACAATGGGTGAAAGTCATTGAGTAATTTCCAGGTGTTTTTTCCTTGGCCTAGACAGGAGATCTAGCATTAAGAGAGCCCATCTGTAACCACTGATAAAAACTACAGCCAGCTTGTAGAGTGTTCCAAGCCATCAGGACACATTTGTCATGGGATTCCTTCAAGAACCCTGGGTCAGGGGTTTACTGAAAGCCATGCAGTGGCAGAGTGAGACTCAAACCCAGGTCTCTTGAACCCAAGAGCAAGGCATTCTGCTACAAACTACTGTGGAGAGATGGTCTCCAATAGAAACCTTTGGCTTGGAGTGGGTGGAAGTTATTCTGCACATACTCTGCCCACATCTTACCCACTGCCGCCTAGTCTCAACGTCACCCCATCTGAGCTGTCACCCCGATGATCTTTCCAGGGCAGATGGCACCAGAGCATTTCATGTCTGACCAGAAGAGATTCTATCAGTGTCAGGTGGCTTCGTAGAGATGATGTGTCTCTGCTGGGGGTCTGACTTGATTACTTTTCCTTTTTGATACTGGATACCTTTCGTCTAAAGGGAGAGAGAATAATGGGGATGATGATGGTGCTGAGGAACTGGAACTGTGCTCTCTGCTTTGTTGCTGTCATTCACTTTAGGAAGAGCAAGTCCAAACCCAAACCCTTTGCCTGCATGAGAGAATCCCCTACATTATCATTCTCACCTTCTTTCTCAAGAGTTTGTAACTGCTAAAACTACACATTACCTTTCCGGGCTAAGAGCTCCAAAGTGCCTGCCTTGTTTCCCAGGCACCAGCTCTGGCACGTGTACCCTACAGCTCCAAGTCCCTTTGCACTTGCAGAAAGCATGGAAACCTTCAGCCTTGTCAGTTTCTTCATCTGTGAAGGTCACAGTCTTTGGCACTACTTAGCTGTGTTCTAGGAACCCTTTGGATTCTTCCCAAACCCTAAGTTAGCTTCAGTCTCACTCTGATGCTTGTACAGAAGTGAGGAAAGCTCAAGTCTTTTTTGTTCTTATTGCAAGTGTGCTGTCTAGCAGAATAGCTCCTCTTTCTCCCCCATCTTTTTTTTTTTTTTTGAAAGATTTATTTATTTATGCATAAGAACTGGGGTACAGGCTAGAGGTGCAGGGGTGGTGAGAAATCACCAGAGACAGAGTGGGGAGCAGAACAGGCAGATCATCGAAGTACAATGCTGAGGGGAGCAGGAGAGGTCTGCCACACGATGTGGGTCACCTCCAGGGAGAGCGGGGATCGAACTCATGCTGAAGTGACTTTAGTTTCTTAGTGCTGTGCTTTAACCCACTGTGCCACCAGGGAGGGCCCTCTTTCCCATCTTTTATACCTGACCCTGAGGTACAGGAATATTAGAGGTGGTGGAATGCTTCCCCCAGTAATAGTGCTCTACAGAAAGGTGGGCCAGGGCTGCATTTCTTAAAAGTGAGAGGCGAGCAAAAATGCTCACAGAGAAACCCTTCCCTAACTACCCGGAGCACAGGCCTCTCTGGAAGTGCTAAGCCTAGTGTCTCGGCTCTGTTGTGGAGGTTATCAGGATGTGGAGTAAGGTCTTGGTCCAGAGAAGTTTCTCCCATCTCCTAGTGCACACTTGACAAAACAGCCCTGAATTGAAAAAGAGGATTTCCGGCCATACCTACCCCAGCGCAGGATACAACTGCATGGTGCAGAGTCCATTTCTTGTCAGGGTCATGTTGCTTGATGAAGCTAAAAATAAACACAGGAAAAAAAAATAGGCTGTATCAGAACTTAGAACACAGAACACAGGTCACCAGAGAATCTGCAATCTGGGAAGAGCTGTTCCAGGACAGTTTCTGAGAACACTCCCACGCAGGTATTTGGAGCGTGAAGGTGAAGTAGCAATACTCCAGGGATAATTTTAAGAGACCTGGCTTGGATGCTGCAATATTTTTTGTCCTAAATATATTTTTGTCATCTAGATGCAAAGGTGATGAAGTCAACCTCATAGACCCAGGGAAGTGAAAGGAGAGTAGACCAGGTGGACACTGGAACCAGAAGACTCTCTGTTTGGATCCCCTGGATCAGACTTCATAGTGGACACCCCCGTGAAGTAAGAGGGGGCAAGCAATGCATGGGCCAGGCACCCTGGCATTCATGCCTGAGAGAGGCAGGACACAGTGTCCCCAACCTAGAAGTAGAAGCTGACAATGGAGGTAGAAAGAAAAGTCTTATGAAACGTCATGTGAAGACAGATAATGCTAGGGAATAGGATTTGACTACCTGAAGCTGATTATGGGGAAGAAAAAGGATGTCACCAGGCCACAATATGGCAGGTGAGGGCCAGATTCTCTTATCAGAGATAAGAAAATCACAAAGCAGGAGGTATAGGGCTGAGGTCTTGTTCCAGTAACAGTTGCTCTCAGTGGGAGGGGAAAGTAACAATTAGGATGGTATAATTGTCTTCTAATGAAGATCAGCACAATATGCCTGGAGATGAATAGGGGCCCAGCAGAAATATAGAGAAACCTAAGGCACCTGCCTTCAAAGGATTAGAACAGAATCACCAAGACATGATTATTCGTGATTCAATTATTCGATTATTCAAATGAATGTTGTACCCAGGACCCTCCCCAGTCCCTGCCAAGCCAGCACTCAGCTCTGTGATTTTGAGCAAGTCACCTCATATTTGGGGATCTCAGTCTCCTTGTGGTCACTAAGGAGATTGGCCAAGCTGATCTTAGAGTCAGGCCTTTTTTTTTTTTTTTAAAGATTTATTTATTTATTCATACAGAACTGGGGTACAGGCCAGAGGCTCAGGGGCAGTGAGAGGCTTCACCAGAGACAGAGGGGGGAGCAGAACAGGCAGATCGATGAAGTACACTGCTGAGGGAAGCAGCGGGCGGGTCAGGAGAGGTCTGGCTCGCCATGTGGTCTCCTCCGGGGCAGGCGGCAGGCGGGAATCGAACTCATGCGGAAGTGGCTTCAGATTCTTAGTGCTGTGCTTTAACCCGCTGCGCCACCAGGGAGGGCCGAGTCAGGCCTTTTTTTTAAAAAAAGATTTAATTATTTATGCACACAGGACTGGAGTACAGGCCAGAGGTGCAGGGGTGGTGAGAGGATTCACCAGAGACAGAGTGGGGAGCAGAACAGGCAGCTGACTAAATACACTGCTGAGGGGAGCAGCGGGCGGTCGGGAGAGGTCTGCAGCACCATTTAGAGTCACCCTTTTGATGTCATTGGATTTTAACTCCAACTCACAATTTTGGACTGCTATTACTTCCCGGTGTTGAGGCCGAAACCACTCAACCCCTCTGAGCAAGGTGAATCTTAAAATGGGGTTGTCTCCTGCGGGAGGAAAGAGGGGGGCCCATTAAAAAGCCTTTACAAGAACACCCAATAAAGTTAATCTAAGTAAGCAAGAGTTTACTTAATATTCCTCAGATTACAGGATGCTTGATAGATTGTCAGGATGCTTGATAGATTGTCACTTAAATTCAAATCTCTGAATCTGACATCAGGGGTCTGAGGCTGAGAGGACACAAAATGCTCAGCTTCTTTGATGGACACGATGATTCTCTAGATTTGAAACACAAGTGGCCTGACCCCTCAACTCAGAGCATTCTCTTGCCATCTTCCAACTTTCAATATAAGAAAAATTTTGGGGATTTGCTTCCCTGGAGCTCAACCTGGGAAATGAGTGAGTGCCTGGGAGTTCTTGGCTGCCAATCAGAGGCATTTTCTTGTTCTGCGTCTTTACGCATGGTGGCTGCCCACCTCCCCCCTTTCTTCTTACTTTACCCTGCCCCAGCCTAAATAAGCCCTTGCACCCACAGGGACATTTTGCACCATGTGTGCAAAGGCTAGAAATGCTTCCTTGACTGGTCAAGAAAGCCAGAGATGAATTTCGGTCTTAAGTTTGAAACAACAGAAAGATCAGCTCCATCTTGGGAGAGTGGCTCCCAAAATGCTGTTTGGAAGACTTCATTTTAGCTCTATACTTCGTTGTGACTCCTGCACTGTCTCTAGATCCACAGACCTGGTCACTGTGCAAAGGTCCAGCCCTGTCCTCACCAGGATGCCCACGCACACCCCACCTTTCTTTAAATTCCTTTTTGTTCAAATGCCTGTCTCAGTGCAGGTGTTAGGAAAGGAACTGAGTTTAATTGCTCTGGGCTAAGAAAACATCTATTTTATACACATTATATATATTAATAATATATAATTAATGAGTTATTGGTGATAAATATATAAACTCTTCATAGCCACATAGACCAGTAATCCAATAATCCAGTGAGCACTACCTTTATTTTGAAGATTTATTTGAACACACTCATAGAAGGTCCTTAAATAACGTCCTTTTATCATAACATTGACGAGAAAAAAATAACTGATTCCCAGCCAGGCCCATTGTCTGTATGGAGAAGTTAGCAACTTCTCCCCATGTTTTTGTGGGCTTTCTTTGAACACTCTGGCTTCCTCCCCTCCCCCAAAGATGTATACATTAAGTTCATTAGCATGTCTTTGTGGTCCCAATCATAGTAGTGTGTGTGTGTGTGTGTGTGTGTGTGTGTGATGCACTCTGGGATGGAAGAACATCCAGGCCAAAATGGGGTTCCACCTTGTGCCTTGAGCTGCTGGGCTAGGCTGTGGCTACTAGAGACCCTGAACTGGAATAAGCGGGTGGGAATAAATGAATGAATGAATGGAGGGAGGGAGGGAGGGAATGAATAAACACAAATGAATGTCTCATAATAGAAGTGTTTGGAGTCTTGATTTAAAACTGAGTGATGTTTTTGTGAATAGAAATATGCTTTAGCAATTTAATTCTTATTTATATAATCTAGTTTATGGTTAAATTGGTTTTATTATACATCACTTTACTTCACTTTCTAATTTCTAAGAACCTATCCATGACATTAAATGAGGACACACTGTAGATACTGCATTATTGTGTATTGTGTTTTATATAATATATATACTTAAATAGTTTATATACATATTGTGAGTATTGTGAGTATTGTGTATTATATAATATATATACTTAAATAGTTTATATAATATATATACTTAAATAGTTTATATACATATATATATATAAAACACACACACATATATATATGCACACACACATACTTATATGAGTATGTGTTTGTGTGTATATGTATGTGTGTGTGTATGTTTATATATCCATGTAGAAATAATTGTATCAGTTGAGTCTGGATAACTAAAACAGTTCCAGAAGTTGTTGAGGGTCCCAGGCATGTCTAGACATATTCAGAACATCCACTTTAACCAAGGAACTAGAACAACCAGTCTGCTGAAAACCACCTGGGATTGAAATCATTGCTTCACTAACTTTTCACTTGATTTGTGTATTATTGCATCAATAAGAAGTTGACTTCTACCCTAATTTGCATAATGGGACACCAATCAGAATCACTGATTTCTAACTTTAATATGCATAAATAACCAGAGTGGGAGCTACCACACCTTTTCTTTGTGGGTATGAACCTCATTCTCAGGCTGGAGAGTCCCCAGTCCTGCTTGTTTGGGGGATGTTGTCTTTGTGCTCAGATTTCCTGCTGGTCAAGTAAAACCTAGAGTCAGGCAGGAGGCCTCTCACCAGTATGAGGAACATACTGGAAAACCTGTATCTGCTGAAAATAGCAGGCAGACTTTATGGCCAGATTAGCACAACCAACCAGACCACCTTGACAGAAAGTTAAGTGTTTACAAGCCCTAGAGATAGGATGTTTTGATCAGTGGGAACAATGGAGCCCCCAGGCAATAGCCCCTACTGACTATTGCCTGCATCCCCAACCCATATCCCCCAAGCACATTCCCCACACATTCCTCCACATACGTGCCCACCTTTCCCGAGAGTCTGAGCCCCAAGAAATATGAGACTGCTCCTGAAAAAGTTATTGCATTTCCGGAGGGCCAAACACCTCCCCACCCCCCTCTCTCTAGTTGGACACTGTCTCATGCTGCTCCCAAAGCTGCTGCCCAAAGAGGCAAAACAGGCAACTCACTTCTCAAAATATGCTTAGATTTTGCTTCAACCAGAGGTCTAATTCTGATGTGACTTCTAGAAATGCTCTGAATTGTGTGTGTTAAAGGAGGGAGTTGGAGCAGAGGACTGTTAAACAGCAGGAAACAGGTCACCACCTCCATTAAACCCTAGAAGACAGTGATCTGCAAGCCCAACTCAGACATCACCCCCTTCAGTAGCAGGAAAGCCCTCCATCAGACTTACCCCGAGAGCGCTGCGCCCGGAGGCCCTACTTAATGAGATACCCACTCCAGAAGACACCTTTTGTGAAACACCCTGTGGTGGGCCTCTGGCCCTCTTTACCCTCCATGAGTCTTGTGTATGAGAGAAGGAGCTGTGGTCCTCGTGGAACTTACCTCCGCTCAAAGGAGGGTACTTGTACACGGGTTTAGGAAAACCTTTTCTCTCCTTTAATTTCTTCCCCTTGTACTGGAAGTAAGAGCGGATTGCCTTCCAGGAACAAAACCTGTGAGAAGAATGACTTCTGATCACAGGGAGAAAACCGCCAGCTGAGGGGAGCAGGCCAGGGCCCTGCTCACAGAGGATAGAGGGGGCCTGGCACAGGCAATACAATCGTAAGGGCATGGGTGATGACCCACAGACAGGCAACCCAATTCACACTGGGGTGCCCTGTAACACTAGGTCCTTAGCCCCTCCAGTGAGATGCGCCTGGGAGATGCTCTCCACAAGTAAAGCTCTGGCCCAAATCCTTTCTTGGGTGTCTGGTCAAAACAGACTTGCCAAAATCCTTATTTGCCAAATCAGGAAAATCTGCATTCACTGAGGTCCCCCATCAGGAAACCACCAACATGGTTCCGCAGATGAGCAAATCTGCTCTTTGGGATATCACTTAAGCACTGCAGTCTGCCAAGATCCATCGGTGAGACTCCCAGTGGCTGAGTTCTTCCAATTCCCTGCCGATCGCTGTGGGTCAGTCAGAGTAGGTGCTCCCACAAAGTAGCCCAGAATTCAGGGAGTAGCTACTGGTTGTTACTCCTGGGTGCTCTTTTCTCACTGGAGGAACAAGGGAGAACTCTATGTGGTAATATACTGGCCTGGAGATGGGACCATGAGGTCAACATGTAGCTATTTTTCTTACCCTTCTAATGTCACTCTTGGTCTCTGTGGTACAAGTGGGTGTTTCAACCTCACCCTCCCACCCTCTTGCTCTAGGGTCCTTTCAGTGGGGTCTTGCTCTTGAGTAGCTATTATTATTCTTGTAAGGGGGAAGAGACCTGCATTGCCACATTGGTGACATCATACCAGGCTGGTTTCTAATTCTGGCTTCCCGATGACCAGGTAGGTCCAGGGCAAACCCCTAACATCGGTTTCCTCATCTATAAAATAAGGATAATAATAATTTGTCCCACCCACCCCAGGTGGATTTTGTGAGCTTCATCCAAGAAAATATATGTGGATACAGCTTTCAGAATACAAAACTCTACATAAATATATGGAAAAGTAAATAAAGAACCAGTTATATGAGTTTTAGTAGTTCAAAGCCTCTCTGAAGCTCTCCCATACTTTCTAATTAGGTAAAAAGGAGCACTGATTCAAGTCTGTACCAGTATATACTTCCCAGGAGAACATTAGCCTCCAGAAAGTTTGAAGACAAATTTCTCTTTCGTCCTGATTAGGAGAACTAACTGATATCTAGAAATAAGTACTCGATAACAACTAATATCCAGAAGGCTACGTTTGTTATCTTGAACTTAGATTTTTATATTTAAGATTGGAGATTGGAAAGCAATACTTTACATTTATATTTTAATACAGTAACATCTTTCATGAGAGAGGGAAATGCCTAAGTCAGGGATCACGTAATAATCTAAAGGTCCCAATTTGCTTACTTGGGAAGACTTCAGCTAGCTGTCCTCTGGTCACCATTTCCTTTGTGGAAAGCATGAAATGAATCTGGTCCATGGTGTAGACTATGGGAATAGCAAGCTAGAAGAATTGAGGGCAGCCTCTCAGCCTGAACCTTGCTGGATAGATAGAAGCACTTCGCCACAGTTTGCTTTGTTCTGTAGATGTTTTGTTTCACTTTTGTTTTCTGACCTTCATGGATTCCGCACCATGTTTTTGTTTTGAGTTACTTGCTACATTTGCCACTTGCATTTTGGAAGATATGATATACAAAATCTGAATTTCAAACTCCTCTTGAAAACTGAAGTATCTAGTAGTTGTGTACCTAGTACACATTTTGAGGTTTGGAGCATAATAGAGCAAAACTCTTCTAGCTTACTGTCCATGAAGGGTTTTTTGGCATGTGCATAGTTGGATCAGTTTAGATAGAATTTCTCCCCAAATAGCTGTGGTAGCCCTTTACCCTTAGGTAATAAACTTTTATTCCCAAGAAAATCTAACACCTGTGTTCCAACCAAGCTCTTGGAAAAGGTGGGAGTCAGGCATTCTGATCCCATGTCTTTCATACTCTGATTTAGTGTTCATGTGAGAGATGGAGTGTAGCGAGTAGTTGCCACAAAACTGGAAACTGAAAAAGGACTACTGGAAGACAGGGAACTCTCTGGAAAGTCACACATTTTCCTGACCTCATGGTCTTCAGGTGATGGGAGATAGTTACCTTTTCCAGAAGTGCATAATGACAGGGAAGAGATACATGATAGTCCCGTAGAAGATGTTCCGACTTAGGTGGCCTTCTGCAATGGCAGCAAGGATGGCATCCTTCTGGGACTCAGAGATGTTCACCTACCCAGAGTGGGAGCCCGTCACTGGCAGAGGTTCAGGGAAGGTAGAGGCCTTTCTTGGGCCTCAGGACCTTCAAGACCACCCCTTCCCAAAAGGCAGAGACTTTGCAAGCAGCTATGAGGTAAAGTACATCTGGTAGACCCAGGGCTTAGGAGGTAACTGAAAGCTTTTGGGATTCTTGTGGGGGTAAAATGCTTCTTGGAGAAAGGCTAAAAAAGAGTGGGAGTCCCCCTTACCCTCAGTTTTGGAGGGAGCTCAGAATTCAGGTAGAGCTTTATGATGATGTTAATTTTGGACTTCATTAGGATCAAATCATTCTCATTGTATGCCCGGTTGACTTGCAGCACATGTGCTGAACTCACCAAATTGTTAAATCTAAAGAGAAGCAGTAATTAGGGAATCAGCCAGGAGAAGATGATAGCAGTGAGTAACTAGGTCAGCTGGCCCAGACCCATAAGCCAGGTGAATTCACTCATTCAGTCATAATTTATCCACTAGCAAATGCTAGTTGAGCATCATGTCAGCTAATAGGCTAAGTGTACTTCTTCTTCATAAGCTCACATATTTGTTGATAGTTCATCTTCCCTTCTTTTCCCATCTCAGCCCTTGATACTCCGAGGGTTAAGATTTTATTGCTCTTCCGCTTCTGTAAGGACTTTCTCCTTTCTCACAATTATTACTACCCTCTGAAACAACAGATTCCTTTTCTTAATTTTATATCATAGTAAAAATACCAAAAATTACCATCTTAACCCTTTTTAAATGTACTTTTCAGAGGCCTTACGTCCATCCACACTATAATCATCACCACTTTTATGTCCAGAACTTTTAATCTTCCTAAATTAAAACTCTATATTCTCTAAATACTAACTTCCTAGTCTCCTTGTTCCGCAGTCCTTAGTAACTGCTGTATTTTCTGTCTCTTAGCAGAAAGCATTCTAAAATACTCTATTTTCTGTCTCGAACAGCCTTTTACTAATCATTAAATATCTGTCAGACACAGTTTATCTTGACTTAAGCACAGTTTTCTTCTCTCATTCCATTTAAAATATTAGTAATTTTTAAATTTACTAATAGAATATCAAGGTGTCTCCATTGCATGCTTGTTTGTGTATTCATTTACCTATTAAATGAGTTTATAAAGGGTCTGTTCTGTGCTAGATCTACTTCATGGAGCAGGGATTGAGAATGAACTCAGTAAACAGAGTCCTGTTTTCCAGGAGTTCACAATGGATGATAGGGAGAAGATACAGAAATACATATGGGAATCATTAAATATCCAGCAGAGAGTTATGAAGACGATGAAAAGAGATGATGCAGTGGGGAGGTGATGGACATTTGCACATTGGGAAGCAGAAGACAGGCATTTGAAGGCCAAAGGCTTCTTCCTGCAAAGCGAGTGGCGCATGCAAAGTCTATAAAACAATGTCCCATTGCAGAGCAGAGCAGCGTGTGGAGTCATACATCTGGGCCAGGGGCAGGGGATGAGGAGCACAAGCTGAGGCCCAAGGGGCAGCATTCATATAGGTCCTACTCGTGCAGGGCCCTGTCTGCAGTGTGAGGAAGTTTGTACATTGTTCCTATGTTTTAGAAGCTAACACATAGTCTGCCTATGTTTTAGGCAGAACAGTGACAGAATCTGGTTGACATTTTAAAAGGCTACTTTGGTTGCTATGCAGAGAACAGTTAGTAGAGAGCAAGTGATGGGATTTGGAGCAGCAATACCTGCCTGCCCTTTGCACACTTAAAAAAATCCCACTAGGCCCTCCCTGGTGGCGCAGCGGGTTAAAGCACAGCACTGAGAATCTGAAGCCACTTCCGCATGAGTTCGATTCCCGCCTGCTGCCTGCCCCGGAGGAGACCACATGGCGGGCCAGACCTCTCCTGGACCGCCCGCTGCTTCCCTCAGCAGTGTACTTCGTCGATCTGCCTGTTCTGCTCCCCACTCTGTCTCTGGTGAAGCCTCTCACCGCCCCTGAGCCTCTGGCCTGTACCCCAGTTCTGTATGAATAAATAAATAAATCTTTAAAAAAAAAAAAATCCCACTAACATTTACTCCTCCTTCAAAATTCAGTCTAGGTGACCTGTCCCCCAAGAAACTACACTTGAGGACTCAGTTATATAAACGTATTTTTTGTTCCTGGTTCAAACAAAATACCTACCATCCTACTTCCCAGTGCTTATATGTCTACTCTGCCATTCCCATTAGTTTCTAGAAACTTGAGGACTAGAGAGCACATCCTCATTGGTTTTTGCATCTCTAGTGCTAACTCTTGTATTCAAGAACTAGTAGACAATTGGTAAGTATATGTAGAACTGAGCAATCCCTCACTGGATTGAAGAGGAAATCTCTTACTCAAATACGTGCAGAGCTACCAGGTGCTCTGGATTTGTGAAAGACACTCTGACTCAGGCCTCTCTCACGCCAGCTGTATACACTGTGCCTCCTCTGGACACGCATTTCTCCAACTAGTTGGTGCAGTTGTTTACTGAGAATTATTCATGTCTCTTTACAAATATTGCTGCTTGTTACATTTGTAACAAGTAATTTGTAATTTTTTTAAAGATTTATTTATTTGTGCCTACAGAAGTGGGGTGCAGGCCAGAGGCTCAGGGGCAGTGAGAGGGGCACTCTGTCACCAGAGACAGAGTGGGGAACAGAACAGGCAGATGGACAAAGTACACTGCTGAGGGGAGCAGCGGACGGGCCAGGAGAGGTTTGCCACGCCATGGGGTCACCTCCGGGGCAGGCGGGAATAGAACGCATGCTGCAGTGGGTTTAGCTTCTCAGTGTTGTGCTCTAACCAACCCGCTGTACCACCAGGGAGGGCTGTAATTTGTAATTTATGAAAATCAACAAAATTTGATCATGAAAAGTAATGTTATTTGCTGCTTTTGTGAAAATGCATTTAATGCTTTGGAATGTCTCGTTAAAAGCAAGTTGCATTTGGGGAATCCCTGGGGACTAGGGGGTTAAAGACACAGTGCTATTAAGCTACCACCAGCCACTGCAAGCAGGAGTTTGATCACAGGCCAGGGAGGTGACCTACATGGCCCAATAGACCTCTCCTGTCTTGCCTGCTGTTCCCCTCAGGCAGTGTATTCAGTAGATCTGCTGACTCTGCTCCCTACTCTCTCTGGTGAATCCTCTCACCCCCCACCTCTGCCCTGCACCTCAGTTCTTATATGCACAGATAAGTAAATCTTTAAAAACCTCAGTAAGTTACATTTATTCATTCACTCATGTATTCACTCACTCATTCGTTACAGCCATGCTCTTATTTATTTATGTAGTTTAATTTTTTAAAAAAAAATTGAGATAGGGCCCTCCCTGGTGGCTCAGCGGGTTGAAGCACAGCACTGAGAATCTAAAGCTGCTTCCGCATGAGTTCGATTCCCGCCTGCCCCGAAGGTGACCACATGG